TCCCAGTTTGCAAACTGGTTTAACATTGGGCTGCAGGTGAAGATCAACAACCCAGAGGTGACTTCCAAGGCTCTTTGGGACAGCAGTTAGCAAGGAAAATAATCAACTGGGAGGAGCCTTGGGCTGCTGGGAGGGTTTTTTTGGCCTGTGGTGAGGTGGGACCAGAGGTCCCCAAGCTCCCTGTGGGATGGGTCACAGCCCTGCAGAAACCGTAGGAATTGCAGCAACTTGGTGTCCCCTGGATGCAATTTTTGATGAGAAATGTCTTTCCCCCTCTCTTTACCTATACAGGGAGGCATCACCCCTCCGTGGCTCCCCTCAGCCCTCCATCCCCCTCTCCTCTCCCCTTTCCCAGTTCCTCTTCCACCTCAACATGCATAACAATAAAACTATATAAAATTATCCATAATTTTTTTTGCATCAAAAGGCAACTTCTCAGCACATTTCACTTGCAGCAAGGGAGAGCTCCAGGTTTAGCACACATTAACCCTTTCCTGCAGCTTCAGGACTTCTCTTTTTGATACTGTCTCCCATGAGATACTCCTGGAAAAGATGGCAGGCCATGGCTTGGATAGGTGCACTGGTCCCTGGGTTAAAACCTGGCTGGATTGCCAGGATCAGGGAATGGTGGGGAATAGAGTTACATCCAGCTGGGACAGGTGACTCATGGGGTTCCCCAGGGCTCAGTGTTGGGCCAGGCCTGTTTAATGTCTTTGTATATGATCTGGATGAGGGGATTGAGGCACTCTCAGGCAGTTTGGAGATGACACCGAGTTGGGTGGGAGTGCTGATCTGCTGGAGGGCAGGAAGGCTCTGCAGAGGGATCTGGACAGGCTGGGGCTAAGGTCAGTGGTGTGAGGGTCAACAGCACCAAGTGTTGGGTCTGGCCCGTGGGTCACTACAACCCCATGGAATGCTCCAGGTTGGGGGCACAGCAGCTGGAAAGCTGGAATAGGCCCTGGGGGTGTTGGTGACAATGGCTGGACATGAGCTCAGGTGTGCCAGATGTGCAAGAGGCCAACGGCACTTGCTTGTAGCAGCTCTGGTGTGGGCACAGCCCCAGGGCAGTGCCTGTCCCCTCATGATAAGAAGGACATCAAGGGTCTGGAGCGTGTCCAGGGAAGGGAATGGAGCTGGGGAAGGGGCTGGAGCAGCAGGAGCAGCTGAGGGAGCTGTGGGGGCTCAGCCTGGAGAAAAGGAGGCTCAGGGGAACCTTCTGCTCTCTGCAACTCCTGACAGGAGGTGCAGCCAAGTGTAGTCAGGCTCTGCTCCCAAGGAACAAGGGACAGGACAAGAGGAAACAGCTTCAAGCTGTGCCAGGGGAGGTTCAGGTTGGCCATCAGGAGGAATTTCTCCATGGAAAAGGCTGTCAGGCACTGGAAGGGACTGCTCAGGGATGGAGGTGTTCAAGGAACGACTGGACGTGGCACTCAGTGCTGTGGTCTAGCTGACAAGGTGGTGATGGGTCACAGATTGGACCCGATGCAGGTCTCTTCCAACCTCAGTGATTCTGAGATTCCAGGTTAAAGACGATGAATTTTGGTTTTTTGGAAACAGGGTGTAGAGCCTGTGCTGCCAAGGGAGGGAGCAGCAGTGCCATCCTCGGGCAGACACTGCTACCTAGTGGCGCCAGAAATGCCTGGGACAATGGGATCCCTGAGCTCCACACGGGGGAAAAAACACCTCCTCCCCTCCCTCCAGGGACACGGGGAACACGGTGGGGTCCCACAACCCGAGCTACAAGGACACAGCAGAGCCAGTGAGCTCTCAGGCAACTTTTCCTTTTATTTCTTATAAAATATATTTCATATCGCTGCTGTAAAAATTACATTTCACATTCTGCTTTTCAACTTTATTTTTCCTCTTTTGTTTTTCTTTTATTTTTTTTTTAAACAATAAAAATAATACTTGGAAGACAGCTGAGAAAAGCTCCAACAAGACAGGAAAGTTACTGGGTATGGCACCGATGGCCCCACGGGGGCACAGCCACGGTGACAAGTGTCCCCGACCCCTTCCCACTGCCCCCCTGGGGTCACCCTGTGCTAAACCCACTGGGGCAGAGTGTCCTGGCTGAAGAAGGGGGAGCAGCCTCCAATTAATTAGTGCCCAATTAAAAGGCTCCTATATACATACATATACATGCTCCAGGAGATGGGCAGGATGAGGGAAAACTCTCCAAGCTGGATTTACAGGGGCTGAAGAGGAGTTTTCTTGAGACCAGCGTGACTCAAGTGTCAGGAAGAAAAGTCCAACAATCAGGAAGTGGCTGGAAGTGAGTCAAAAAGTAATAGGAAAGGGAAAACAGTTGGAAAAGGAGACAAAACCCCCAGAAATATATATCCAACATCAACCAACCTGAGAGGGTGGAAGCCTGCTGGCATTTCTGTAAAAATACAAGCTTTATCTGGTTTGAAGTGTAAAAATTCCAAAATATTCAACAAAATGACCTACCCTGAACTAGTTTTCCATGAAAAAGTAAAAATCCAACAAGAGCCACAAGCATGAAGAACAATTTTGTCTGTACTACAAAAGCCCTTGGGAGAGCAGCTGGATGTACATCCCACTCCTGATCAAACACTGGTGTCAAACACTCCTGTGCCAGGTAAGCCCTGCCAGGCAGGTAAGTGCTCTGTACTGTGGGGGGAGGAGGAGAAGGGGAAAAGAGGAGGAGGGGGGAAAAAAGGAGGCAGGGGAGGGGGAAGAGAGGAGGAGGGGGAAGACAAGAGAAGGAAAAGAGGATCGGGAGGAGGAAAAAAAGGAGTAGGAGGAAAAGGAGGCACTGCCAGGGCTGGGGGGTCCCACCAGCCCCTTCAGCTCATGCTGTGCACACCTGCTTGTGTGTCCATTAACATCTTCTGCTTCATTTTTATATATATATAACTTTAAAAAGAGCATTTTAATAGAAAAGCAGTTAACTTCACTTGATCTTTAGACACCTGAGCTCCCTTCCAGTGAAAAACCTGATCTCTGAGGCAGATCTGTGCTGGGAAGGGTCAGGGTGGCCAACGACCTCCCAGGGATGGGGTGATGCACACCCCAATGGTTTGGCTTGTTTCCATGAGTACTGAGCTGGGAGCAGCAGGAGCTGAGCCATGTCCAGATCTATTTGATGCAGAAAGGGCATAAAAAAACCAAGGAGTAAAATCTCCAGCCCTGCCTGGGGGGTGTCTCTGAGTCACAAAGATAAAGGCACAAGGTGTGAGGAAAGCATAAATTCACCCTTTCTTTTTTTTTTTTGCCCATTCTGGGCTCAGTTTTTAAAAGTACTAAGAACTGGGGTGCTGTGTAGGACTTCCCAAAGCTCCAGCTTGATTCCAGCATCACCAAAACCAACCAGCCCCCTGGCACAGCAGGGCCCTTCCCTGAAAAGCACACTGAGCTGACACAGGATGGGTGACACCAACTCAGCCATGCACGCACTGGAGGTCAGACAGTGGCATGGTTTAGACAGAAAAAGTCCTTTTTGCCACAAAACACAACCTAGGAACCTGCTGGTGGGAGAGGAAAGGCTTTTCCCAACATTTTGCTCCTAATGGAGCACAGGCTCCAGCAGAGATGGGAGCCTGAGTGAGCAGCTCTGAAGGTGTAAAACCTCTCCCTCAGGATTCGAGCTGGAGCTGCCCAGACTTCTCTGAGGATGTAACCCCGTGAGGTCATTCCCTACCCATGGAGTTTTGCTCCTCCTTTCCAGCAGCCAAATTTTATATCCAACCCAGACAGAAGCTCAGGCTGAGGGATGATAAACTGTTACATGTACAAAATTATACAAGATAACAACAAAAACCATACCCAAAGACATGGACAAACGCCAGGAACACTGAGATGGATCTCAGGCTGCTTCCCCTCACCTGATCCCTTCAATGACGATTCAGGAGCAGTATTGGATGCTCCCAAACATTTGACCCATTTTATAAGGAAACCTGATTTCTAAACACCCTTAAAACCAGGCCAGGCTCATGCTGCATCCCAGGATTGCTCTTGGCTCAGCAAACTGACTCCCACCAGGCTCCATGGGATTCAAGAGCAAATATTCCCTGCCCACGGCACACAGGGGTGGAACGAGATGATCTTTTAAGGTCCCTTCCAGCCCAAACCATTACACGATTCTATACTGAAGTATTCCGGTGAACTGGGGCCAAATGGGGATGCTAAGGGAAACCCTTCCCAGTCCTTCCAGCTCGTGGTACCGTTAAAATCACAGAACTGTTCAGCCTGGTTTTGGAGGACACGGCAAGGGCCACAACAGAGATTTGTCATGGAGCTAGACAGGCTCAAAACGAGCCTAAAATGAGGAGAAACACCACATTTTGCCCTAAAGTCCCTCATGGTTTTCCTGATTATAAAGTTCTAGATGCTTCTTTCCCCACAAAACGATGCCTAGAGGCACACACAGCCTCGACCTACAGGTGTGATGCAACATGAGCAAAGGCCACATCCGTGCAGGGACAGAAAACTCCAACTGCTGCCCCAAAAATCTGCCCCCACCTTCCTTGTGGTAACTCAATAGCATTTCTTTTTTAAAGCTATAATTGTTATCAACCTCTTCCTTAAAGGATATGAGAGATTTGCACTTTCTAGGTAGTCAAAGACATGGGAAGCTGCCTCAAAACCTCATCCCAGCCACGCTGCGATGGGTCGGGAGATTTTAGGGCTGATCTGGGAAATGCAGGAGAAGCTCTTTGGTCCCCAGATCACCACCAATCTTCCCTGATTGGAATCAATTTCCTCCCCCTCCCTGCCCCAGTTTTTACCATACAAAGGGAAATATTCTTCAGGTTTTATAAACATTAAAAAAAAAAAAAAGGTGGAAAAAGTGTTTTTCTTTTTAAAAAAAGAGCAAACCGAGATGTACAATGTACAGGAGGAGGAATTTACACGCAGCTCTGGAGGAGCCTTCTGGGCTCGCAGGAGGTACCTCCAAGGTCCCTGGTTGCAGCAGTGAGGTGCTCCGAGGGGCAGGAGCAGGAGCAGGGGAGGGACGCGGCACCGCGGTGCTGCGCTCAGTCCAGGAAGCGCTGACAGGCCTTTTTCCACCGGCAGGCTGTGCACCACTGGTCCCGGTGCTCGATGCCGTACACCTTCCGGCACTTCTTGGCTTCCCCACGGACTTTCCTGCAAAAAAAGGGGGAAAAGGAATGACATTTAGCCACTCACTGCAGAGCTTTGGTCACAGATTCAGAGGGAAGGTCATGTAACATGGAGTGCTGTGTCCAGGTCTGGGCCTCTCACTGCAAGGAGGACATTGAGGTGCTGGAGTATGTCCAGAGAAGCAAGGCCACCACAGAATCTGTGCATCCCTTGGTGCATCCACAGATTTGTACATCACTCAATGTTTACTTGGACATAGCCTGTTCCATAATGGTGATTGTTCAACTGTCATCATTGGCTTGGAGCAGAGGGGGGAAAAAAGGGTACGAAAGAATGAAAAGTCAAGACTCACATTACTAATATCAAGATTGTTCTTCGCATGAGATCTCAGATTAGGGATGTATTCATCAAGTGTGGTAGGAACAGGGAACTTCTGACAGCTTAAATTGCACTTTCAGTTACACATCTTCTTCCCAAGCTGAGGAATTAGCATTGGCATAGATACTGTCTTCTGTATGAGACTATGGAAGTGATCCTCCCTCTGTACTCAGCACTGGAGAGGCCACACCTAGAGTGCTGTTCACGTCTGGCTCCCTCACTGCAAGGGCACTGAGGTGCTGGAGCATGTCCAGAGAAGGGAATGGAGCTAGTGAAAGGCTTGGAGCACAAGCCCTATAAGGAGCAGCTGAGGGAGTTGGTGGTGTTTAGCCTGGAGAAGAGGAGGCTCAGGAGTGACCTTATCACTCTCCACAACTTCCTGACAGGAGGCTGTAGTCAGGTGGGGATTGGCCTCTTCTCTGAGGCAGCTAACGACAGAAGAGGACATAGCCTCAAGCTGCATCAGTGCAGATTTAAGCTGGGCATTAGGAAGAACTTCTTCCCAGAGAGGGTGACTAGACCCTGAAATGTGCTGCCCAGGGAGGTGGTGAAGTCACCATCCCTAGAGGTGTTTAAGGTGAGACTGGATGTGGCACTTAGTGCCATGGTCTAGTTGACATAGAAGTGTTAGATCATAGGTTGGACTTGGTCATCTCAGAGATCTTTTCCAACCTGAGTGAGTCTGTGACTCTGTAACCCAGTTCTGCTGCACCTCAGTGCCCTGTTTGCTGACTGGCTCCACCTCTGCTCCCCTCTGGCAGGTGGGACCCTCACCTGGTGCCGATGGACACCCTGGGCGGTGAGGCGACGATCAGGTGGGACTTGATCATCGGCGTCGGCGGTTGGGGTTCACTGAAGCTGAGTGACCGACTCCGCACCTGTGGAGAATCAGGTGTCACAGGGCATGAGATGAGGAGTCCTTAGCTCCCAGCACAACCCTGCACCCCAGACGGATGAAGGGCAAACACACGCAGGACTCACCGGCGACAGGGACGGGAGAGTTGAGGTGGCAGTGGCCCAGCTGATGCTGGTGAAGATGTGGGGGGACACTGGAATTTGGATCGAGGGCAATGCCTGTGTGGGAAAAGAGGTCAGCATTAGACCCAGGGGTTCCCTATTCCCATGGGGAGATGGAAAACCCCATGCAATCTCCCCTCTAGTACCAGGTCCTGCTAACATGGAGACGTGTACTGTGTCACCCTTCCCAGGGACACAGCAGCTTCTTCACTCCTACGGCTCCTTCTGGTTGCAATAGCAAACCACACGCACCATCCTCTGTGTGTCTACATTTTTGCACCTATTTACAGAAGTTGTCTACTTTTAGGTGATGTCACACCCATTTCCTGTGATGGGAATAGATACACATGCAGCTTATGGCTCTATCCACCCTGTCCTTGCAGCTCCAGAGGAGTGCTCAATTCTCAGCAGCTCCTGAGACAGAGGCCACTGGCCCAGAGTGCCCACAAGGGCCACCACTCCTGGTTCCCAGGTTTCCTGTGCCTCAAAAGCTGGGCAAGTGTGCAGAGATCCGCAGGATCCGGCGTGGCTGCATTCCAGCCCCGGTTATCTGCCGGCAGAAGGGTGTGTTGCATACCAGCCTGGGGTAACTGCTGGGGAGCAGAGGCTGCAGCTCCACCCCAGCCAGGGAACAGCCACAAGGAGAAGAACACAAATCCCTGAACCAGGTGTTATGGAAGTCAGTTGCTCCAGGGCTGAGGGGCAGCCAGGTGGGGAATGGTGCTATGCCAGCACCAAAGCCGCTCCGTGCTGCAAGGTGGACAAGGAGATGTCCGTATGGAGCAAACTGCATCATGACTTGCCCTTCAGCAAGATTTCAGGTGGCCTGGCCCCAGAGATGCCACCAGCTCACCTGGTAGGCATGATCCGCCTGGATGTGCCAGAAGGAGCTGGGGGCAGACTGGCTCAGGGCGCTGCTGGCCAGGGCAGGCTCCAGCACCGGCTGCTCCACCAGCAGCGCCTCCGGCTTCGCCAGGGCCTGCTGGATGATGATGGGGGCAGATGTGGACATGGGGCTGGTGGCAGCAGCTGCCTCTGGTGCTGGTTCTTCCTTCACCTGCACTTCGGTGTAGTAGAAATCCTCTTCCCTCTTCCGCTGGTCGGAATCTGCGCTGTCCCTGCCGAGGAGGAAAGGGGAACAGCGGTGAAAAGGTGGCACTGTTTCTGTCATGGTGAGCAGAGAGACACCTCACCCTCCCAGGCAAAAGAACTCTGCTCTCAGGCCCCAAAGCATCACATAGGCTGCGCTCAGCAACAGCCACTGTCCCTGCAGCAGCACTTTGCGCTTCCAAGGAAGATCAATACCTCTTCCAGGGCCTACAGAAATGCTGGCACATTGACCAGACACGGCTGAAAATCCCCTGCTCATGTCTGAGTGAGTTCATTTAGCACAGCTGTGGCCAAAGCCCTGCGGTTCACCCAGCAGGGAACTGCCCCTAAAGCCTGTTTTGTTTTCCCAGCACATTTATCCAGCACTGGATGGCAGTCCAGCACCACTCACTGCATCACAGCCCGTCTGTCCTTGCCTTTCCCAAAGCATTCATGTTTGCAAGGGAAGAGGAGAAAAATTCACACCAGGAAACACGGACATGAGCACAAGAAAACTGAGGCTAGGCTGAGATCCCCACACCCTCACCCCTGTGTGTTTTTCAAGGGAATTCAGAGACCAGGACAAAGCAAACTGCCAAAGGGGTGGCTGCCACCAGGATGTCACATGGGTGCCTGTGCCAGCCCCAACAGATGAGCCAGAGCCAGTTGCTGCCGCAGCTGGCACAGCTTTTAGGCTACCAGACCTTGTGTAACCCAACTGGGATGGCTCTGCCCAGGGCTCACACTAACCTGAACTCCCTCAGTGTGAAATGTACACCTAACCTAGACAGTCCCAAAGTCCAAACAGGGCTCCCAGAAAATCCCTGGGTTCCCTGAAGGTGAGGATACAGCCCTGGCTTCAGTGACACAGACTGTTTGGCTAGGAACCTCCAAGCTCAGTGCACAGAAGGAGGTAACTCCAATACTGGGATCATTTGCTGCAGGAATCATGGAATAGATCAGGTTGGAATGGACAACAAGTGGGTCATCTGGTCCAAACTCCCTGCTCAAGCAGAGCCATCCCAGAGCACATGGCACAGGATTGCATCCGGACGGCTCTGGAATATCTCCAGTGAGGGAGAATCCACAACCTCCCTGGGAAACCTGCTGCCAGGAATTCCTGTTCAGAAATTCTCAATTATACAGTGGTTGGGCAGGGATTGAGGTGAAATCTCTGCCTTACCCGAGGTGCTGGGTCTTGACGTGCCGCTTGATGCCGACGATGGAGCGCAGGACCTTGCCACAGCTCGGCCACAGGCACTTGTACATCACCTTCACCGAGTTCTGGAGGAGAAACAGACTATGTCACCCTCTGCCTGGTGCCAGTGTCACCTCTATGGGCTGCTGGCCCAGTCTGAGCCACCCCACCAGCACTGGGACACCCACACATACCTTTCTCTTGCGCGGAGCAGGCTCGTCAAGGAGAAAGGGGTCAGAGTCAGTCTCAAAGCCATCGTCTGCCTGGGGGGAGCTCAGGGCCTCGCTGGAGTACTTGGGGCTGCCAGCAGGGTGGGGAGGTGATGGGGTGGAGATGTCACTGCCCCCACTCCAGTGCCCACTGGTGGTGCTGCTGCCGCTGTCCGACACGTCACCGCTCTCCTTCCAGGGATCACACGCTGCCCGTGAGGCTGTGGGGAGGGACACACACTGCCACCAACTGAACTGGAACCAGCCCCGAGGCTGGATAACCCACCACAGTTTGCCTCTAGTTATATTTTTAAAATCTTGGCAGGGTGAAGCCTTGCCACCTTTGCTCAGCGCCAGCTCCTAATTATTGGTCGTTTATCCCTTTTATCCCCTCCCCATCCTCCTTGGCACCAGCGCAATCCCGCGGGCACAGCCAGCACACGGCGAGCAGCCAGCACCAGGGCACACACATTTCCCACGGCTCAGGGTGGCTATTTTTATCCCATTGGCTGCATTTGACTCCTCGGGAACGAAACTGCCTCTAAAAAAAGGAGTGACCAAGTGGTGCTCCCCAGCCTGGGACTCCTGCATGGAGCTCCCCAACCCCCTGGGATGGCTGCGGACATCAAGGTTATCCTCAAAGCACTGTCAGGGGTGTCCCAGACTGCTCGGCCCTAACTGGAGCTGACACCTGTGGGCTCTGCTGCCAGAGACACTGAGAGGGAAGGCAATGGAGCTGGGAAAGGGGCTAGAGTAGCAGGAGGGGCTGAGGGAGCTGTAGGGGCTCAGCTGGAAGAAAAGGAGGCTCAGGGGAACCTTCTGCTCTCTGCAACTCCCTGACAGGAGGTGCAGCCAGGTGGGGTCAGGCTCTGCTCCCAGGGAACAAGGGACAGGATGAGAGGAAACAGCCCCGAGTTGCACCAGGGGAAATTCTGGCTGGATACCGGGAACAATTTCTTCCTGGAAAGGGGTGCCCAGGCACAGGTTGTGGCACAGGTTGCCCAGGGCAGTGCTGGAGTCACCATCCCTGGAGGGATTTAACAGCCATGTGGATGTGGCACTTGGAGACATGGTCAGTGGTGGCCTTGGCAGTGCTGGGAGAACAGTGGGACTCAATGGTCTGAGAAGTCCTTTCCAGCTTCAGTTATTGTGTCATTCTATGACCCTGGTGCTGCTCCTGGCCAACCCTAGCCCAGCACAGTCCCTGCACCAGCAGCCACTCAGCACCAGGGAGAACAACAAACACAGCCATCCATTCCCAACCCTGTGATGCAAAGTTCACAGTATATTTTTCCATGTCTCCTTTTCTTGCAGATGTTTTCTCCACGGTTGATATATAGGTATGTATGTCTATATTTAAGTGCACACTCACGGGGGAGGCCGCTCTCGCCGGCGGGAGGGCTCTGCACCACAGGGCTGCAGGAGAGGCTCGTCAGCACCATGGCTGCCACCATCTCATCCATCTCCACAGCAGCATCAGCTTTCCTGCAAAGTGAGGGGAGAGATGTGAAACATGTGGAGGGAAAAAGCAGAGACAGGTACAACCTGGGGAGCCACTGGGTACCCACAGGGCAGCAGAGTTGCAGTAGCAGCACAGGTTCTCCCCCACTGCCTCCCTCTGTCAACTTTGAGTCATTTTTAAGTCACTGGGAAGGATGTTTTCTCCATGTTTTGAGGAAAAAAATTAAAAATCCCCTTAATCATAATTTTAACCATCCTCTGGATAATCCTGTGCTGGGAAGGTAGAGGTTAAGGAGGTGATTCTACCCCTCTGCTCTGGACTGTTGAGACCTCACCTCGAGTGCTGCACACAGTTCTGGTGTCCCCAACATAAGAAGGACATGGAACTGTTGGAGCAAGTCCAGAGGAGGCCAAAAAGTTGCTAAGTGGACTGGAGCGCCTTCCTTGTGAGGACAGGCTGAGGAAGTTGGGGCTGTTCAGCCTGGAGAAGAGAAGGTTGTGTGGAGACCTCACAGCACCTTCCAGGATCTGAAGGGGCTCCAGGGAAGCTGGAGAGGGATTCTTGGTTAGGAACTGCAGTGACAGGACAAGGAGCAATGATAGACTGAAAAAGGGGAAATTTAGATTAGATATTCGGAAGAAGCTCTTTCCTGTGAGGGTGGTGAGACACTGGCACAGGTTGCTCAGGGAGGCTGCGGATGCCCCAACCCTGGCAGTGTTTAAAGCCAGGTTGGACGGGGCTTGGAGAAACATGGTCTGGTGGGAGGTGTTCCTGCCCAGGGCAGCAGGTGAAAATGGATGATCTTTAAGGCCCATTCCAACCCCTTAACATTCCATGATTCTATATAACCCCAACATCACCACTCTCCACTGGTGTAAAACCACGCGCAAGCACTACTGGAGCCACTACTAGCCCCTCTCCCACCCAACACCACCAGCCAAAGCCACCAACCTCTTGGGTACATCGATATTGCTGGACACAGATCTCTGCAGCGCCTCGGCAGGACCGGGAGTGCCAGCTGTGGGCAGGGCAAGGGGCTGGAGCACGTCCTGCACCCTCCAGCACGCCTGCAAGCCCTGCTCTGGCACCAGCACCTTCGCCTGCTCACTCAGCACATTGTGCTGCTCCACCAGGCCGGAGCACTCCTGCCCGTTGTAAGTGATGAGGACCTGAAAATGGCACAAGGGGAGATTTGTTGGTGTCTCCTGCCATCCACTGCTCCCAGGGGATGTCCTGCTGCACCACGGGCCGGTGTTTGCCTGCCACAGGATCCACCCTCCTCCTCCTCCTCCCACAGCAGAGGGCTTTAGGATGAAGGCAGAGCCTGTCTATAGGGACTGGACTTCAGACTGCCACCACAGCAAGCCAGAGGGGTGGGCAGGATTCATCCCAATTCACCATCAAGAGATCTGCTCTCCCCAACTCCAGCAATCCCAAGCTGAGGGGTTTCCTGAGCTAGTATCAGCTGTCTCTGACAGTTGAGACTTTGGGTGGACTTTTCCCCAATGAATTTGTCTCCTTTGACTCTGTTCTCAGCTCATCCTGCTGCAAGGACACTCACAACTACTGCACACCATGGCAAAGTGTGTGTGGGGGCAGGCAGGGGAATGGAGGTTTCCAGGGTGAAGTGATCCTCAATTCACACCTTGTCTCCTCCACTCCCAGCTCCTTTGGGCAGGGAAAGAAGATGGGCAAAGCTCACCTCCTCCTGCACAGAGTCCCAAACTTCTCCTGATAGGCAGTTTTCCACCACTACCACCCTGAACCTATTTCTGTGAATGGGAATATACCTGTGTCAAAAGACACTACATGTGTCTCTGGCTATTTATAGGAACAGGGACATCTCCCCATGGAAGTGCCACAGGTGTCACACCAAGAGGCCAATACAGGGTGGACACAGGCACCAGGGAAGAGCCTGTGAGACCACCTCCAACAGAAACACTGGAGTGGTAAAATCTACCCACTGTGGGAACAGGGCTAAAGGAATCAGCACAAGGATCAAGACACACAAGACCCTGACCCTGCTTTCTGAAAACAAGGAGCAAGGCTTTTTCATGAAGACACCCCATCACTATTTTAATGTCATTCCCAGCAGCAAAACAAGCTGGCAAAATCCTCCACAGTGAAGCATGTGAAACAAAACAACCGTAACTGTCCTGTGGTTAATAAACACAGGGTGGGAGGAGCCAGAAAACCATCCAAGGGCCTTATTTATACTCCATTTCACAAGCTCTGCCCAGAAAAGGTTTTACAGTTCTGCAGGTAGCAGCCAAGAATCAGGATTTGTGTCAGGAGCTCACGTCTCTCCTTGGACAGTGCTGCTTGGCCAGGCATTAACAGGAAGCGTTCCAGGGGGATTGAGAGTGCTGCTCCCTGTCCCAGGCAGTGTCCTGGCCAAGCCACAGCCCTCCTAAGAATCAGGAGTCCAGAAGACAAGGAATGACAAGGTCCAGCAGGACTAGATGTCCTTTCTGGACACATCACCACACCTCACTCTTCCCTAAGAGCTTCTTCACCACATACATCCACAGCAATCACCTTGAACCCTGCAGTTGCTACAGACTGAGCTCCATGGCCTGAGCCACGAGGCTCATTGCCACCATGGCTAAGCCAGAGGGCTCCTTGCAGCTTCCCTTTGGGTGTAAATGAGGGTTATGGGGAGACAGGGTAAGTTCATGGAAGAGAAGTCCACCAGGAGTCAATGTACAGAAAACATCTCCCTCAGCCTCAGACAGCTGGAGAACACTGGAAGGAGGTGTTGGGTCTTACTCTCTTCTCTGGAGACCTACACTTTTGGCTAGGACTGGGGATGTCTTCAGAGGAGATGGATCTCTGCTTGAGCTGGCATGGTCCAAACCCATCAGATACAGCCAGGGACAAGTGCAGTAACACCAACATCCCTTAATGTATGACGTCACTACAGATCCCTCTGCACTTTCCATTAGGAGAACCCCAGAAATTCTCTCCCCCACCGGAGTGCACCCCAAGGACGCCGAGAACCTCTTTACGCACTTGCTGCCCGGTGTGGAGCTGCCGGTGGCTGGGAAACCTGTGTGCCTGGCTGCTCTCCTCTGCTGGCAGTGCACAGGATCCCTCCTCGCGCGGCGCAGCGTGGGCAGGAGCCCGGCCGAGGTCCATTGGCAATCCAGGGATCTGAGTGGCCACCAGCACCCCCTCGGCCAAGGCGCTGGGGGCAGAGACGCGGGTGCCTAGCAGGGAGCGCTTCCCCAGGCGCCGGGACAGCACGCTCGCCATGTCGGACACGCTGCGGGAGAGGGAGACACAGGGACGTTACCTCTGGTGCAGGACGAGATGTTCAACCAGTGTCTAACCACCACCACGCTGTGAGCTGAGAAAGCAGCTCTGCGCTGCTCCAGCATCCCCGAGCACCACAATGCCTTAGGGTCACAGGGACAAGGGCGTGCCTCAGCTCCCACAACCCTGCAGCTCTGTCTTGATGGTCATTCCTACACCGCTCTGGGAAAAAAGGAATGAGCCAGCCCTACGGAAGCCCCACGGACACAGTGAGGACAGTGCTTGGACCCTATATCCCCTTCTGGAGCTGCCACCAGTGCTCACTCCCGAGGCCACCGTGGCTATTCCTGCCGGTCCCACCGAAACCTGCTGTCAGTGTGCTTCAACCTTGACCTCCAGACTTGGGCCCATGCCCAGTGCAGTCCTGCAATTCCGCTGCCTGTGCCCTGGCAGGGCAGGAAAACTCTGTCAGCAAAACCCAATGTCCCCTCTCAGCTGGCATCCTGATGCTCCCCTTTTCTGAAGTTGCTGTGCTTTTGGGAGAGGTTTCTCCAAGCTGGTACTTCATGCCCAGTCCTCCCAGACTGGTCACAAAACAGGAGCATCCTCCTGCCCTGCTTTCTTCAAAAAGGAAGAATTTGGAGCATTTTTATCCCAAACTGCTTCTCTGGAAGTATCTTTAACCTATTTCTGACCCTCAGGCATGGGGATAAGTATGTGTCTAACCAGTCATGCTAAATCCAATGGCTCCAGCAGCACATGCCATCGTCCTCCATCCCACTTTCCTGCACTGTAACACCCTCTCCAAGGAGCATAGGAAGAGGATGCACACGGCAGCAAGACTGAAAGATGACGGTGCCCAGGGTTTGGGAGGAAGGAGAGGAAGCAAGAGGCTTGGTGTGGCCCTGTGTCTTGGGGTGCACCATAAGAACCACATGTCCATCACCTCTGTCACCCCCGTCAGCGAGTGCCACCCAGCCAGCCAGGGGCTGTGGGTGTTTGCTGGGTGTCTGGTTGCAGCATAACCTGGGCCACGGTGAGTCCAAGTCCAAGGAGCTGCTGCTTGTGCAAGAGGGAGGATTAACCCTGGGTGCTCACACCCAGTCTCTGCCCTCCTCACACAGCCACTGTCACCAAGTGACAGCGTTTCAATGGCAGATGCCATGTTACTTGTGTTCTTTTACACCCTGTTTGCACAGTGCTGTCTCTCACGCCAGCTCAGCCGAGGAAAGTTTCCCAAAGGCAGGAAGTGGAGCTCAACACTCCTCTGGAGCTGTCCCAAAGGGGTTACTCCAAACCACAACTTGCTTCAAAGGACACCCAAGATTTACAAGCAGTTTTATGAATAACTGTACAGCCTTGCCGCGCTTTGTCCTCCCCCGAAACCCTGCCGGGCCCGGGTAGAAAATTAACAGCTGCTGAGGAGCAATAAACAACGGAGCAGGAAGATTGGGACAGGGTGTGAAATGGACCGAGGTGTGCAAGGGAAAGCACCTCGTGCCAAGCCTGCCCACAGGGACTCTGCTGCCGTTGGCACCTTCACTCTGGAGCGGGATCAAAGTGGCCGCGGCAGCTGGTGGAGCGGAGCCGCTCCCTGGCTTCCCTCTCATCTCGCCCTGCCTGAGGAACACACCGGACTTGGCAGTGTACAGGCAGCACTGGGGATGCTCCTGAGCCCACTCCAATCAATAATGTTCTTTCTTTTCCATGGTGCAACATGTTCTCCAAGGAACACGTGTATATCCATACAGAACTCGCTCATCCAACAGGACACCGAAAGGAGGACACAGTGGTTTGCTCAAATCCCACGGCAAAGCCCCTCCACCAGCACTACCCACCAGACCACATTTAGCCCTGCATCACCGCAAAACCTCGCTCTTGGATATCTCAGGATTTGGGAACTGCCCTTCTGAGGGCTCAGGGAATCGATGTGGTGACGTTGGTGACACCGCCGCGTAGAAAACGGCGCTGGATCTCCGCCGCCTCCCGCACACCACTTCCAAGGCAGCGCTTGGCCGGCAGCCAGGAGCGGCAAGGGCAGCGCCGAAGGTGGGAGGCTGCTTCTCATTTCCTTCGGGGTTTCTTTTTGCCTTCCCTTTCCTTCCCCCTCCAGCCTGGGGAGGACGAGAGAGGCGCGCATACAACTCAGGGAAGGAGAACTCTCCCCAACGCCAATTCTCAGAGCCACACTGCTTCCAGCAGAGCTTTGGACAGCAGATCCCGTCGCAGCCTTCAGCCCATCGCCGGGAGTGACACACCAATGCCAAAACATCCCTCTCCCCCCACAACGCTCCAAAACACAAAGCAAGAAGAGGAGCGAGAGCGCTGGGAGGGCATCGCCGGCAGAGCCGGGAGGCCACGCTGCCGCTGCGAGCCTCCCAGCTGTTAGCAATCACGCGCCGCAGGGGTCAGAGCCGGCACAGATCCCAAATTATTCCTTGCTTCAATGCCGGGCGTGTATTTTGGACGGCGTTTTCCAGCTCTCGACGGGGAAAAACGTCGGCCCTTGTGCCCACTGGCGCTGCCGCTAGCGAGGAGCGAAGCCTGGCTGGAGGTTTTGGGGAAGAGGGTCCCTCGCTGGCAATTGAGGAATAGCTTGTTTAGCACGGAGAAGGTTGAGGGGATGTGGCCAAGCAGGGAGGGTGCCCCAGTGCTCATCCCAGCTCCTGTCTGGCCAGGGTTTGCCAGGGAAAAGGCAGCTCCTGTGCCCACGGTGCTGGGCAAACCGGGACCACCAGTGCAAATCTCTCTCCAGAGAACGTGCAGTTACAGCATGCCGCATTTTTACCACTTTTTTAAGGAATAAATGCTGGTAGGCTCCCTCAAATCCAGTCTAACTCCTGCCGCAGACTACCAAGCTATGGATCAGCAACCCAGACCACAAAGTCCTGTCTGAGACCCTAAATTCCACAGTCACTGCTAATAAACCCATTTCTCATCTTCTCTCCCAGCCCCCAGTTTCCAAAAAGCCCCTTCTCGTCCCAAAATATCCCAAAGCCCTTTGCAAATCACACTCCAGACCCACCGGCACATGTGACCGGGGAAACAAGATATCCTCAGGGAGCAAAGTTTGGGCTTTAATTAAAAAAAGAAGCGACGAGGATCTACTGACCCAAGACAGCACCAAGCTCCCCACAGCCTAACGCTCATAACACTAAACACTTCCAAGAGTTTCCTCCGCATTCCACCTCGGCTCACGGTTGGGTTATACCAGGGGGAAGAGCTCCTTGACCTGTACCCACGCCAACACTCAGTGCTGCCGGGCGATTCCAGAGGAAAACGCTTTGGGAAGACACACTCTAAAAACGGGACAGTAGTGCCGGCGAGGGCAGAGCGACTTCCCCGGGCATCGTGGTGCCGACAGCGAGGGCAG